ACACACACACACACACACACACACACACACACACACACAAACAAACACACACACACACAAACACACATATTATACAAATACATACACACTAACACAGACACTTCTACCCTGCACATCAAATCCCACATTCTACCGCTTTTATTGTACGTCGAGGTCCTATTTATTTTATTTCGTTAAAAAAGGACGTATGAAAGGGTCAAAAGAAAAGCAGGCAAAGTTACATTGATCGTTTGTAAAAGGCAGCTTGCACTGTATGCTACCCAAGAAGTTGAGACTGTATCAGAATGCTCTCGTGGGTGGTTGAAGGGCGCCACTGACAGGTCCTACTTCTTTTTTTTTTACTTACTTTACTTTATCAGTTTTCTTGTATCTCTAGGGCGTCGAGGGGAGAAAGAGCTTCCCGTCTCTAGCAAATTTGATGGCCTGGCTGGGTGGGATGTTGAATGTTCTCAGGGTATCCTTCACACCCTGGATCCAGGTCTTTCTTGGTCTTCCTCTTGCCTTGTACCCTGATACTTTCCTGTAGTAGGCTTTATTGGCAAATTGGTTAGGTGCCATACGTGTGAGATGTCCAAACCACCTGATTGTTTGCCTTCTGATGTAGTGGAGGAGAGGTGTTGCTCTCACCATTTCTCTGATCTTGTTGTTTCTGACCATATCCCGTCTGGTTTTGTTGACGGCTCTCCTTGGACATCTCATCTCGCAGGTGGTTATCTTACGTTCCAGACTTTTGGTCAGGGTCTATGTCTGGCACTGGTAGGTCAAGGTGGGGGTGAAGATAGAGTTAATGAGCTTGGCTTTGGTCTCAATGGGAATGCTGGGGTGTTTGAGGAGTGGGGCAAGCTGGTAGCTGATGCTGTTAGCCTTTTGTACTCTCGTCTCAATTTCTCTATTGAGACGTCCGTCTTCCGAACAGATGCTACCAAGATGCTTGAACTCGCTAACTTGTTTCAGCGGATTTCCGCGTCGATGGTGATGTTAAGGTTGCCAGGTGTTCTGCTGATTTTCATCATCTCTGTTTTGCTTTTACTGATCTTCATGTTGAGCTTTTCACATTGTGTATTCATCCTGTCTGTGTGCTCTTGAAGTTGCGCTTCTTTCTCACATGCCAGGCTTTGATCGTCCGCAAACAGCATCTCATTCAGGTCTATTGGGTTGTGATCAGCTTCTTTTGTAATTTTGCCCATGTATATATAAATAGTAGCGGTGATAACACACACCCTTGTCTTACTCCAGATGACACGTCAAACCAGTCAGTGAGTCCGTTTTGGGTGCGGACTGTGCTCATACTGTTGGTATAGATGGCTCTGATGTTGTCCAACAGTTGTTGCCTAATGCTGTACTCTTCAAGTGTTTGACACAATTTGTTTCTATCTACTCTATAAAACGCTTTTTCCTGGTCTATAAAAAACAAGATTCAGTTCTTTGTTGTATGCAATTGTTTTTTCACTCAGTTGTCGTAGAGCAAAGATAGCGTCTGTGCACCCTCTCCCTTTTCTGAAGCCCATCTGCGCCTCACTCAGTAATGGTTCCACCTTGTGCCTTGTACTTTATTCCAAGAACTTTGCCTGTGTGACTCAGAAGGGACATTCCTCGGGACGTGTTGCAGTCTTTCTTGCTGCCATTTTTCTTCCAGATTGGTATCACAGCGCTGCCAGTCTTCTGGGACTTTCCACTATGCTTTTTGGAATATTGTGGTCAGCCAGTGATTGCTGTTTCTCCTCAAGCCAGGATGGCTTCAGTTGTAATGCCATCAAAGCCTGCTGTTTTGTTCCTTGGGCTATTCTTCAATGCCTGCTGTACCTCTGATCTTAAGATGCTTGGTTCTTCTTCTTCTGTGTATCTTGGTTGAAAATGGCTCTGTGTGTTTCCTTGGCTGCTTGGGTACAAGAGTTCCATGAAATACTCCTGCAATCTGTTTTTGGTGCTGTCTTCTTCACTGAGTGGGTTTCCATCTTTGTCATTCATTACTGCTTTGGGTTGTATGGTTCGTCTCGTAGTCTCATTGCTTTGACACTTTTGTAGAACTGTCGTGGCGAATGTTTGCACAGTTCACTTTATATTTCGTCATATTCCTTCCATGACTGTTCCTTGGAACTTCTGACTGTCCTCTTGCTATGACGTGTTGCAAGTCTGCATTTCACATAGTCCTCATCTTGCTTTGATTTTACCCATGTCTTGTACAACTACTTCTTTTCTTTGATGGCCTCCTTTACTGTGTCATTCCACCAAGCTGTCTGCTTTACTTGCCCTCTTCCGGTGTTCTTTGTACCGCAGGCTTTACGGAGTGTCTCTGTCAGCGTGGTCTTGAACACTAACCATGTTTCTTCTGCTGTCATTTCTGAGCTGTGTACTTTTCAGCTTCTGTGTGACTTCTGTCTCCATTTCCTGTTGTACTTCTTCCTTCTGGGGTTTTCTTAAGTTGATCTGTCCGTCTGTTTCTTTCCTCTTCCGTTTCCTCGTTTTTTTTCACTCCGCTGCTTTGTAAATAAGATAACTGGCCGTGGTCAGTGTCCAGGACTGCATTTGGGTCGCTCTCGTGTCCCTGACTCGTCCCCTTTCTTCTTTTCGTGTCAAGATGGAATCTATCTGTGATGATACATTCAAATCGTTCCCTCTGTATCAATTTAGTTTCTGATTGGGTCTGTGTTAGTAAAAGGTGTTTGTGATCCACAGTCCGTATTCTGCACACAGTGTTAATAGCAGTTCCCCGTTGTAGTTGCACTCGGTGTTAGTGTCGCTGTGTGGGTCTAGGTACTGCTCCCAAGATGTTCTTCTCTTAATAACAACTCTTCCATTGAAATCTCTCATAACAATAAGTTCTACCCTGTCTGGGACTGTGCTTATGGTGTCTGCCATCTTCTCAAAGACTTCCTCTTTTTGTTCTTCGCTGTAGGAGTCATTGCAAGGTGCATAAGCTTGGATGAAGTTTGAGATCTTTTGCTCTCCCCTTACTCGCATTTTGATGATCCTCTCCGAGAGAAATTATGTTTCCAACACATTCTTTGCTGTACCCAGGTGTGGAATAAAACCTACACCATGTGTTGTCCTAGTTGTCCCATCCTCGCACTCCAAATCAGGACGTGGTCCTCATGGATTTGTTTGATTCCAGTTCTCTTCCGTCTGCAGTCTGAAATTCTCATCACCGGTATTCTCCATCTCTTCATGAAGTCAATAACTTCTGGCTCTTTGTCTTTGATTCCACAATCATTCCAAGTGCTCGTTCTTTCTCGTTTTCCTTTTCCGTTTCCTGGTTCGTTTTCGTTTAAGTTCGACCGTTTCTTTCTCTTATGATTTTATTTAGCCAATAAATAATCCGGCTTGCTAGGCCTGTCGTGGTTTCACCAGAGCCCCGTTAGCCGGACGTTTCAGGGTGATCCGGGGTGGTCTTCATGGCTAATGTAGCGGTCATGTGAGTAAAACCCACGCCATACATCTTCCAAACCAAACAACCCCCTATTTTGTCCGTTCCCACCTCCCGCGACGATGGGCGAGGGGTCGGGCTGTTACTTCTGCCTGTCTTGCTTCTTCAAAGCACAAAAAGACCGTCACAATGTCAAAGTGCTTCTCTTTACTCAAACCCGAACTCAAACTCAAGTATGCTATTGGGTCTGCTGGGGTAATAATGGAGATTATAAAGCGCTTAGGGCTTGAGATTGAGCGGGAATTTACGCCTTACTAATTTTAATCGTTGTTCATTATCATTATTACTTAACCTATTTTAAACTTTTTATAATGATGGACTTGGTGCGAGCCTCAGCAAGGTCCGACGTTGTGTCCTTGGGAAAGGCACTTCACACGAATTTCCCATTTGGCTCGGGTTTTTCGGTTTATGGGCGTTAAACTCGGAGGTCCCGTCTCTTAAATAACCTAATGGTGTTGATAGGGGGTGTTGAACCTATACCACTTTTGTTTATGGACTAGGTTTGTTCTCAGCTTGATTTGCTGGTAGAGAAAAGAGAGAAGACACCTCAGTGAAGAGCGTACAAACAACATAGACTGGCTTGTATGAAAAAGAAAATAAAACAAAAAGCAAACGTCTAGAGCTGTATTGGGGTGAAAAGTTTTGATGGGTTGTCGAAATGGCAAATTGGAATGAACAGACCATCCAAGGAGATTATTGAGATATCTTCTATTACATTTTTTAAAGTCTAGGTGTTTAACACCCCTATGGACAAAAATTAGGTTATTTAGGAGACTGGTTTCGGCCCTGTCTGTCAGGGCCAATCTGGGCTGAGAGACACAATGTCACAGAAAAAAAGACAGATATTCTATAAAAATTCTCACCTCGCAGAATCAAACTCATGTCTCCTGTGGGCGACGGCAAAGGGCCTAACTACTGCACCATATAGTTCTTTCTTTTTTTATTGGGGATACCCCATAATAAACAAGCACTTAGAAGTGTGTGTGTGTGTGTGTGTGTGTGTGTGTTACATGTATGTGTGTGTACATATGTGTGTTTGTGTTTGTGTGTATGTATGCGTGCGTGCGTGCGTGCGTGTGTGTGTGTGTGTGTGTGTGTGTGTGTGTGTGTGTGTGTGTGTATGTGTGTGTGTGTGTGTGTGAGTGTTGAGGAGCGGGTTGGGTGGGGTGGGGTAGAGGAGGAAAGCGTCGAACAATCTGGAATACAGTACCCGAATCGTGCTATTTCGATGCACACATTACCTTATCCATATTTGAATTCCTTTCATTAGGCGAGAGAGCGCACGTGATATCATTAGGCTCCAATAGAGTGACGTCAGGGAATTCCCCTTTGGTTTTACAGCAGGCGATGGGAGTCTCTAGAGTGACTGTGATTGGTGGGCTTGTCAACGTCACTGACCCATTGATTGGTGGTCCGGGCTGCGTGTATTTCCTGGGCCACTTGGAGGCAGAGCTGAAGTCTTCCGAGTTCTCCACGCCACAGCATTTGAACTGGGACAAAACGGTGAGGTAAGATTAATAGATAATAATATATAGCATTTGTATAGCGCACAACCCCGCTCGAAAGCAAGCTCTATGCGCTTTACACTATATTATTACCCCAGCAGACCATAGAACACTCAGAAACATCCTCAGCTTCCCTGGAAGCATAACAAGATTAAATAGATTTTGTTTCTTTTGAGTTACTTTTCATCAAACGTTTCTATATCCACACATCTACCCATCCACCCACCCATCCGTCCATCCGTTCATGCATTCATCCATCCATACATTCCCCCATCCATTCATTCATTTTTCCATTTGCCCATCCAGCCATCCATCCATCTATCCATCCATCTATTCATCCATTAACCATTTATCCATTTATTCATTTATCCATTTACCCATCCAGCCATCAATCCACCAGTTCATTCATTTATCCATTCACCCATTTATTAATTCATCCATACACCCACATCCTCTACATATTAAGAAGAAGAAGAACAACAAGAACAAAAACAAGAACAACAAGAACAAAAACAAGAACAACAAGAACAACAACAAGAACATGAAGAACAACAACAACAACAACAACAACAACAACAACAACAACAAAGCATATTTCCACCAAAAACACACTGACCACAATCATGAGGAAGTTCCACCCTACAGTCACTGCGTCCGTCCCGTTGATTCCCTTGTAGTCTTCCTCTAACGAACTCAACATGGATTTCTTGACGAAACTTGACACCTGTGCAGAGATGTTTACCGAATAGATAGTGAGCCAAAAAGAACAACACATTTTGCCTCTCAACAGCCAGTCGCTTTGAATGTCTTCAAAACTCTTTCCCTGCCTTATTGTGATAAAATTACCAGACTAAGGCAGAAATGTGTTCCGGTTTTTTTTAACTCTAAGGTGGAATCGATAACTCAGTTTTGTCCAAAATTGTCTATACTGCCTTTTAAAATAAAGCTCCATCCCGGGCTAAAAGGGGAACAGCTTCTCATCAGAAAGACAGCGATACTCGATAAAATGTGTTGGGTTTTTTTCACTCAGGGGAATCAAACTCGAGTCTCCTGCATGCGACAGAGAAGTTCTCAGCCGCTACACCACATACGCCGGTCTAGGAGTGCGGAGGACATTGACTGAGAATTCCCCAGACAATGGTCGTAGGTTTGAATCCCGTCAGAGGCCCGACGTTTTGTCCTTGAGAGAGACGCTTTTATCAAATTTCCTTTACTTCACCCAGATCGGAACAGTTACCTGGATATTGATAGACAGCGAGAAACCTTGTAAATGCTTAAGCATTTTTGCGAATGCTGTCCGCAGTTTGCATTGTATGCTTCCCAAGAAGCCAAGAATGTTTCTGAGTTGTGTGGTAATAACAACTGCATTTGTTTAGCACACATCCACGTTCTACAGCACGCTCTAAGCGGTTAACAACATGTTAACAATTATCACCTCGGCAGACTCGAAAACATTCTTGATTTCCAAGTAAAATCTGCTGGGAATAATAGTTGTAAAACTCGTAGTGCGTGCCATAGAAACGTGGATATATAAAGTGCTATATAATAAAAGCAATTAACACCCTATATAAAGGCAATTAGTACGCTATATAAATGCAATTAAAACACTAAATAAATGCAATCAATGTGCCATGCAAAATGTCATTAATGCGCTATGTGAATGCAATTATTGTGGTATATTATTATAAGTACAATTAATAATGCGCCACATAAATGCAATGAATAATATACATGTACCTGATCTGTGAAGGCAAAGATGCCAATAACAACGGCCAACTCCACGAGGATCAGGATGAGAAGTATTGCAGCATACTGGGGAATACAAAATGACAGAAGCTTTGCTGCCTGAGAATAATATACAATATATGTATAGTGTGTCACAACACGATGGAATCAGGCGCTCGTCAGTTTTTGGGCATAATATTATGGATTTTTGGCATCGTTGTAAAGCTTTTGCACTGGTCTTGCTTTTAAAGGGGAAAAAAGCCCATCTTTTTTTAATACAAAACGAGATATTTGTAATTGAAGAAAAAGGGGCAAAGGGGGTGGGTGGGAGGGGGTGCTGGTGCCAGTTGTAAAATTAGTGACAAAATGTAAGCCAAAACTTGGTGACTTACATTGCTCGGTGTCCTTAGAAACATTTACCTTGTTGTTTGTAGGTGTGGGTTGTTGTTTTTTTTATTGTTCCTTTGATCAACATTTTAAAGCAACTACTATCAGTAGGATTGTTTTTTAAATTAACATAAAAGGTGGTAAGCCCC